CTTGTGGTAGTAATAGTTACAGTTGTAGCCAGAATAAATTACAGTAGTAATGGTAATGTATAATTAATAGCAGGGTAATGTTTAACATTGCCTCCTCTAGTGTAAAACTGCCACTTTCTTCATTACGGGATGGTTCTATATTTCAGCAATGTTTCCCTTGCAAGCAGTGATTTTGTTTAATGACACTTTAGGTGGAATGACATTGTCGTCACTGCAGCTGTTGGGTGTTCACTGTCTTAATATTTCGTACTATTGCTTTTATCCAGGCTAACTATGTTGTTTGGAAGTGGCTGATTTTTTTATAAGTGTAGCTTGCTATGTGAAGGCCGTTTTGCTAGCTTGGTTTAATCAGACTCAGTTCCTCGTTTTGTTTTAAATGTGTTGACTTCTTTTGCTTTAGTCTTCTGCTGTTACTCGCTCTTTCTCTCCTCGACTTCTTTTGCTTTAGTCTTCTGCTGTTACTCGCTCTTTCTCTCCTCTCTCTCTCCTCCCCTTCCCCCTTTCTCTCTCTCTCTCTCTCTTTCCCCTTTCTCTCTCTCTCTCTCCTCCCCTTCCCCCTTTCTCTCCTCTCTCTCTCTCTCTCTCTCTCTCTCTCTCTCTGTCTGTCTCTCTGACGTACACGTACACGCACGCACACTATTCCATATCTGGTGGGCGGTACGAGAAGCCAAGTTTAGTTATACCAGTACCAACATTAATATTCATCTTCTCTACCATAAGTATCTTCATTTACATACTTGGGAATCTCTTGTGCTTGAAGTGTGAGCGAGGGCGACCGTGTTTGTTGTGATAATGGCAGCCATCACTGTGCCTAAGCTGCGAGCATTTACCAGCGGCTGGTCACTCCTGCAGCATTAAGCCCCAGAGCTTAAGGGTTCAGAGTCAGATTATGAAGCTAAATGCCATGTGTTGACCATGGCAGACACGTTCACGAATGCAGATCTATATGGACACAAGGATGCACACGAGAGGAGTAGTTGAAGGAACTGAATCTGGCGATTCTGGCAGAGAGGACTATGAAAGACACAAGACAAAATGTTAAGATAAATTTATAGAGATGATAAAGTTGTATAATTTAATTATGTAGGACTTGAAAAGAAAGGATAGAAGATGAAGAGTAGGTAAATTTGATAATGGCATCAGTAGTAACCATGATAGCGCTTGGAAGTTTGGAATGTGTAAAGTCGGTTACTAGTGGTTAGCGAGGAAGGGATCATAATTCGACCCGTGTTAGCACAACAAACTTGGTACACTCACTCAACCTCTCTCCGTATTTACCACTGTCTCACTTGCTACTATAACTAAACTGGCCGGTAATTTAACCAGCCAACACGAGCGATATAATTCCCAACAAAGCCAATTATGTTTATGCACACCCAATGTTTGGCTGGCGTGTGAGCTCTCAAACCTCATTAAAACAATTTTTTAACATTAAATGGTTTATAGCTCACCCTCGCAGGAAAATATGGCGTGAAAATGATTTCGCTACAATTGTTTAGGCATGTGATCTTTTTTTTTCAGCGAGAGGAATGTTTTGTTTTCATTTTACTTGTTTCTTCTTTGCCAATTTTAGACTTAAGTGTTTTATTGTTATTCGAAATTGTTAGGAAGGTGCGACTGTGGTAAGAGGAAAATTAAGGTCTTTGTTGATAACACTAATATACAAAAAACAACCTATAAAGAATATAGTTCGTAGATGTTTAAAGTATAGCCATGTTGTTTGTTTCATGTTGCGTATTTTGTGGTAGGGAGGGAGGTAGGTAGAAACGGAGGGAGGAGTATATGTTAATAATGCAGAAACTCTCCCATACTTGCTAAAGGTAACTAGTTCAAAGATTATTAATTCCAGTGTAGGTCTTATTTTATTTAAATCTTATGCGGATTACCAGTACCAAAAATCTTTGTTCCTTTTCTCCTTAAAACGAGGGGCGCGTGTCCGTTCGTCCTTGTCATCATGTTCGTGCATTATTGGTGTATCCCTTTGCCTTTTGTGTGTCCGTTCATCCTCGGCGTGTATGCGTGTCCTTGTTGCTTGTCCGCGCTGCGGGGCCGGCGTTAGGAAGGATTGGTTCCGTTGTGGTTGCAGATCATTATTGGTTTTCCATACTTCCCGCAGCATGAATTATTCTCAAGTGTCATAAAAACAAATCACAGCCTGGGTAGCATGGGTGTGTGTCTCAGCTTGGTGGACCTGAGGTGCATGTCTCATCTTGATGAGACATGCACCTCAACAAAACTCATGCACCTCATGCAAAACTCAGCTTGTGGGTAAGTACATCAGCTTGGAGAAGCATATGTTAGCTTGGGGAACATAGCATAATCTCAGCTTGAAAAAGCATAGCAGTATATATGGACGAGCATAATAATATACCTCCGCTTGAAAAAGCACAACAGCATACTTCAGCTTGAGGGAAGATAACAGCATAGTTTAGCTTCGAGTAACAACAGCAAAAACTAGCAGCAGCCAAGTGGTCAACTTCTTTGTTACATGTTACATACAGCAAGAATAGTAGCAACAGAAGCAAGAATAGGAGCAGCAAGAATAGAAGAAGCAGCAGTAATGGTAACATTAGGAAGCAAGAAGAGTAGCAGCAGAATTATCATTAATAGCATAAGCATCAGAGGTAACAACGGTACCAGATGCAGCTGTAAGAACAACAAACGCTGTAGTAGTAACAAAAAAAAAAGTAGAAACAGAAGTAGCAGGAGGGAGGGGGAATATCTTCCACAGGTAGCGAGAGACAGTGAGGGATACACACGAAGTGTTTGAGGAGCACGCCTGTGAATAATTCTGCGAGGATGTCAGGCCCGACCCTAGGATCCCTTACTTAAAAGTGCTTCCCTCCTCTCCTATTATTATTACCTCACGCTGTTTCCTCGGTTTTAAACTTATCGGTCGTTGGCCACAAGGGCTGCATGACCTGTAGTAGTAGTATTCACAGTCGCTTGCCTCCTGTTTTTTATAGTGTAGTTACTCTACGTCTTAATGTCTTAAGTCTGGCTAGCCATTTGGATGAATCGTTACCTAAATATTTTAAAGCCCACACTTCAGCAGCACGTCAGATCCCAAAGACCCCTTCCCTCTTCTCAGTATTTTCTTCACACCTACCATGAAACCTTTCTTTTACACATTGTTAAAAACGTAACCAAACCATCTGTACAATAGACTTTTTGCTTTCTGTTTAATACGTTTCATACCATCACATGTTCAAATTTGTTCTTTTCATGTTGGCTATCTAGTGTGAATATTGTCAATGTATATATACCTTTGATGTCAGTAGTGTCAATGTATATATACCTTTGGTAAGTGTTAAGACTCTAAACTCATCAAAGGTATATATACATTGATATCGAGTGAGACATGTTATCTGCCTCCTACCACCTTGCTGCAACATTCGAAGACCATACCTCAAACCTTATAAACTTCTTGGCATATGCATCTGGTCACAATTATGTGATTGAGATCTGATATTCTTACTTTTTGTGCATTCGAGTTTATGTTCATACTCGTACAGTCTTTGCAGCTCTCTTTTCAGTCTCCCAATATCACTGTTTATCTCCAGGTATCACCGTCATCTGTAAACAGCAGTTGTAACAAACCTCACTTGAAATTCTGTTTGGTTTACACCTCTCAAATACTCTTAACTATCGCATTTTAAAAGCTGGAAATAATACCTCTTTTTTTCTACACACCCTAACCCTTATTCAGTGTATACAGTGCAGCCCTTGGCACATCACTCACTTGTACACGCCTTATGCATTTTCTAAATTTGTCTTTACAACAATTCCCTCACTCAGTGTAAAATTTCTCGTCTGCACATTCCCTCTCCTTTCCAAATTCACTGCTTCTGCTACCAGTAATTAGATTATAATTTAACATTGTGCTAGCTAATTTATAGCTGCTTGTGTGCTCTCCATGCCATATTTTAGTCGCAAAATATTTGTTCATGTCTTGGGATTTGCACGGCTGATAAATGTGTTTTGCCAGGCTCAAAGACGTTGAAAAATGACGTCTGGTAATACCTTCGTCGATTGATTTCTTTCTCGGGTATTCTGATCTTATTTACAGAGTTCTGATCTGTGTGTGTGTGTGTGTGTGTGTGTGTTTGTGTGTGTGTTTGTGTGTGTGTCTGTGTCTGTTCTTACCGATTTGTGGTTGTAGGGCTCGATTCACAGCTCCTGGCCTCCACTACGTCCACTCTCCCTGCTCCATGAGCTTTATCGTATCTCTTCTTAAAGGTGTTCATGGATCCTGCCTCCACTACATCACTCTCCAGATTATTCCATGTCCTGACAACTCAGTGACTGAAGAAAACTACCTGACATCTGTATCTGTGTACTGTACACGTACTTACCGAGTTCTCCTTTTGGGGGTCGAGACCTAGCTCCTTATCCCGCTTCCAAAACCACTTTGATGAGAATCACCGAATTCTGGCGTCTTATCCACTCCAGAGGCTATGCATTGAGTTTGCTTCCAGCACTGCCTCATCCAAGTCATTCCACTTTTCAGTCAGAAAAGTAGAAATGTAAGATTTAAAGAAAGGCTCCTGAAACTAGATCGCAACATTCCACTTGGGCGTAGTTTGTGATAATGTGTCATTGTTTGGCAATTTTCTCTTTATTTGTAATTTATGTAGATTAGTATTGACAAATAATGGTGATTTGTGTGTAAATAACAGTGGTCATTTTTATGCTGAAACTTGTCTCAGATTTTATTTTAATTATAATTATGAATACTGGATGTCCTGTTGATAGTAAACAATAATGTAAAGTTGCTAATAATGTTTGCTGATGTGAAATGATTCGTGAAAGTCAGTCACACTGATGATTGGGTAGATTTAGGTGCAAGCGTGTTGCAGTGGTTAATTGATTAATGATTTAACAGTATCTTTGAATGTAACTCGTATATTTCTCTTTTAATCCCTGATAGCATGTTGATATCTGGATAAATTATCAAAATTTGACATTCATGTAACTCCTTCCATTTCTCTTAATTGCAGGTAAGTGAGTTGATGGCAGACGACTGTGGAGAGCTGTGGTATGTATACACTGGTTCTGTTTAGTTTAGCTCATGTATTGTATTTCTTCTAAATTTTAACTTCTTACGTAAGAAAAAGAAAATTCCGTCACGCCTGCTGGGGATCGAACCTAGTTGTGGAAGTATGTACGGTGCACGGTGCGCGCCAACGTTCACAGTAAAGATGCCACTAATAAATTGGTAGAAGGTAACCAAAAAATATTCTTCGCGATAGAATAGAAGCGTCCTCCTCCCCTCAAAAAAAAAAAAAAAAAAAAAAAAAAAAAAAAAAAAAAAAGAAACGTACTTCTTTAACTAAACTGTTTCCAGTGATCTGGAGAATCTTTTTATACATTATAATGTAACAGAATGAAAGATTCTCAGGAGACGTGTTTCATCTAAGACGGTCATACAGTGTATTAATTTATCCCGTGTACATATTAAAGAACAAAAAGGCACAATACCATGACTAGAACAAAACACAAATAACGCGCATAACAGTATTTCTTTTAACATAAGTCAGCTCACTGTTGAGTGTGACTTTCAACATGCAGTCAGTGTTTCCAGTTTGAACTTAGGCATAAATATAATCTCTGTAGTTGATTGTAACGAAATTGTTTGGTATGGCAAGTTTGGTACCGAAGCTGTGATTTGGTTCAAACTTCAGACTAGTGTTTGGCTATTCTGACGTGTATCGAACTGAGGGTAAACTTAAAACAATTGCATTTATTATCTTGGTTTATGGAAAGTGTTGAAGACGTGCAAACATTGATTTAAGTGTAGGACAGTCGATGAGTGAGACAGGCAGTTTATTAGCCTGTACGTCCTTAAGTCCATCTGTCTGTTCATCCATCCGTCAGTCTGCCGCCATTCCATCGTCCATTTGTTAATTTGTTCAGGTGCAAAGACAAATCTGCAGACATAGTGACTCGTGTTTATATTCACACTGCTCTTGTCCAGAAGACAGATACTGTAATTAAATATCAGTCAGTTTAACAATGACGTTTTACGTTTTGGAATCGTGCATATTTTGTTTTTAATTTGTAGTGAATTGTGTACTGTACTAAATTATTTGTTGTTTATACTGTGATAATTTAATTTTAATAACTAAAAGAATTGGTAATAACTCGAGTTTTGCGGATTAATGTGCAACTGTGTATTGATTTGTTATGTCTTTGTTATCAGTCCTACGATAACTTGAGTGTAGCTTACCAAGTCAGTGACACACTTGTATTGGTGTATTGTGAAGTGTATTGGAGAAATGTCCAATGCACTAGTGTATTGGTGTTTTCTTTGGGTTATTGCAATGTGTATTCCTTTATTGTATTGTCTTTGTATTGTTGAGTGCATTGGTGTATTTCGGCGTGCGTGAGTATGCTTGCGTATTGTAGTGTTCAGTGTATGGATAGAATGCGGAACAGATATACTGTATACATCCATAAACCATAAATTACGTCGAATAATAATGTAAAAATTTAATGAAATGATTTTTTAATATTTTGGATATCGAATAAAATTCTGTTTGGTGGGATAATTGTGTGTTGTAGGTGGGTTGTCACCCCAAGCTGTGTTGTAGGTGGGTTGTCACCCCAAGCTGTGTTGTAGGTGGGTTGTCACCCCAGCTGTGTTGTAGGTGGGTTGTCACCCCAAGCTGTGTTGTAGGTGGGTTGTCACCCCAAGCTGTGTTGTAGGTGGGTTGTCACCCCAAGCTGTGTTGTAGGTGGGTTGTCACCCCAAGCTGTGTTGTAGGTGGGTTGTCACCCCAAGCTGTGTTGTAGGTGGGTTGTCACCCCAAGCTGTGTTGTAGGTGGGTTGTCACCCCCAAGCTGTGTTGTAGGGGGGTTTGTCACCCCCAAGCTGTGTTGTAGGGGGTTGTCCCCCCAAGCGTGTTGTAGGTGGGTTGTCACCCCAAGCTGTGTTGTAGGTGGGTTGTCACCCCAAGCTGTGTTGTGGTGGGTTGTCACCCCAAGCTGGTTGTGGGGTGGGTTGTCACCCCAAGCTGTGTTGTAGGTGGGTTGTCACCCCAAGCGTGTTGTAGGTGGGTTGCCCACCCCAAGCTGTGTTGTAGGTGGGTTGTCACCCCAAGCTGGTTGAGGTGGGTTGTCACCCCAAGCGTGTTGTAGGTGGGTTGTCACCCCAAGCTGTTGTAGGTGGGTTGTCCCCCAAGCTGTGTTGTAGGTGGGGTTTGTCACCCCAAGCTGTGTGTGGGTGGGTTGTCACCCCAAGCTGTGTTGTAGGTGTTGTCACCCCAAGCTGTGTTGTAGGTGGGTTGTCACCCCAAGCTGTGTTGTAGGTGGGTTGTCACCCCAAGCTGTGTTGTAGGTGGGTTGTCACCCCAAGCTGTGTTGTGGGTGGTTGCACCCCAAGCTGTGTTGTAGGTGGGTTGTCACCCAAGCTGTGTTGTAGGGGGTTGTCACCCCAAGCTGTGTTGTGGGTTTGGGTTGTCACCCCAAGCTGTGTTGTAGGTGGGTTGTCACCCCAAGCTGTTTTTGTAGGTGGGGTTGTCAACCCAAGCTGTGTTGTAGGTGGGTTCACCCCAAGCTGTGTTGTAGGTGGTTGTCACCCCAAGCTGGGTTGTGGGTGGGTGTCACCCCAAGCTGTGTTGTAGGTGGGTTGTCAACCCAGCTGTGTTGTAGGTGGGTTGTCACCCCAAGCTGTGTTGTAGGTGGGTTGTCACCCCAAGCTGTGTTGTAGGTGGGTTGTCACCCCAAGCTGTGTTGTAGGGGGGTTTGTCAACCCCAAGCTGTGTTGTAGGTGGGTTTGTCACCCCAACTGTGTTGTAGTGGGTTGTCACCCCAAGCTGTGTTGTAGGTGGGTTGTCACCCCAAGCTGTGTTGTAGGTGGGTTGTCACCCAAGCTGTGTTGTGGGTTGGGTTGTCACCCCAAGCTGTGTTGTAGGTGGGTTGTCACCCCAAGCTGTGTTGTAGGTGGGTTGTCACCCCAAGCTGTGTTGTAGGTGGGTTGTCAACCCAAGCTGTGTTGTAGGTGGGTTGTCACCCCAAGCTGTGTTGTAGGTGGGTTGTCACCCCAAGCTGTGTTGTAGGTGGGTTGTCACCCCAAGCTGTGTTGTAGGTGGGTTGTCACCCCAAGCTGTGTTGTAGGTGGGTTGTCACCCCAAGCTGTGTTGTAGGTGGGTTGTCACCCCAAGCTGTGTTGTAGGTGGGTTGTCACCCCAAGCTGTGTTGTAGGTGGGTTGTCACCCCCAAGCTGTGTTGTAGGGGGGTTGTCACCCCAAGCGTGTTGTAGGTGGTTGTCACCCCAAGTTTGTTTGTGGGTGGGTTGTCACCCCAAGCTGTGTTGTAGGTGGGTTGTCACCCCAAGCTGTTTTTGTAGGTGGGTTGTCACCCCAAGCTGTGTTGTAGGTGGTTGTCACCCCAAGCTGTGTTGTAGGGGGGTTGTCACCCCCAAGCTGTGTTGTAGGTGGGTTGCACCCCAAGCTGTTGTGTAGGTGGGTTGTCACCCCAAGCTGTTTTTGTAGGTGGGTTGTCACCCCAAGCTGTGTTGTAGGTGGGTTGTCACCCCAAGCTGTGTTGTAGGTGGGTTGTCACCCCAAGCTGTGTTGTAGGTGGGTTGTCACCCCAAGCTGTGTTGTAGGTGGGTTGTCACCCCAAGCTGTGTTGTAGGTGGGTTGTCACCCCAAGCTGTGTTGTAGGTGGTTGTCACCCCAAGCTGTGTTGTAGGTGGGTTGCCCACCCCAAGCTGTGTTGTAGTGGGTTGTCACCCCAAGCTGTGTTGTAGGGGTTGTCACCCCAAGCTGTTTTGTAGGTGGGTTGTCACCCCAAGCTGTGTTGTAGGTGGGTTGTCACCCCAAGCTGTGTTGTAGGTGGGTTGTCAACCCAAGCTGTGTTGTAGGTGGGTTGTCACCCCAAGCTGTGTTGTAGGTGGGTTGTCACCCCAAGCTGTTTTGGTAGGGGGGTTTTGTCACCCCCAAGCTGTGTTGTAGGTGGGTTGTAAACCCAAGCTGTGTTGTAGGGTGGGTTGTCACCCCAAGCTGTGTTGTAGGTGGGTTGTCAACCCAGCGTGTTGGTAGGGGGGTTGTCAACCCAAGCTGTGTTGTAGGTGGGTTGCCCACCCCAAGCTGTGTTTAGGTGGGTTGTCACCCCAAGCTGTTTTGGGTGGGTGGGTTTCACCCCAAGCTGTGTTGTAGGTGGGTTGTCACCCCAAGCTGTTTTTGTAGGTGGGTTGTCAACCCAGCTGTGTTTGTAGGTGGGTTGTCCCCGCCCAAGCTGTGTTGTAGGTGGGTTGTCCCCCAAGCTGTGTTGGTAGGTGGGTTGTCACCCCAAGCTGTGTTGTAGGTGGGTTGTCACCCCAAGCTGTGTTGTAGGTGGGTTGTCACCCCAAGCTGTGTTGTAGGGGTTGGTCAACCCAGCTGTGTTGTAGGGGGGTTGTCACCCCAAGCTGTGTTGTAGGTGGGTTTCACACCCAAGCTGTGTTGTAGGGGGTTGTCACCCCAACTGTGTTGTAGGTGGGTTGCACCCCAACCTGTGTTGTAGGTGGGTTGTCAATCCAGCTGTGTTGTAGGTGGGTTGTCACCCCAAGCTGTGTTGTAGGTGGGTTGTCAATCCAGCTGTGTTGTAGGTGGGTTGTCACCCCAAGCTGTGTTTGTAGGTGGGTTGTCACCCAAGCTGGTTGTAGGTGGTTTCACCCCAAGCTGTGTTGTGGGTGGGTTGTCACCCCAAGCTGTTTGTAGGTGGGTTGTCACCCCAAGCTGTGTTGTAGGTGGGTTGTCACCCCAAGCTGTGTTGTAGGTGGGTTGTCACCCCAAGCTGTGTTGTAGGTGGGTTGTCACCCCAAGCTGTGTTGTAGGTGGGTTGTCACCCCAAGCTGTGTTGTAGGTGGGTTGTCACCCCAAGCTGTGTTGTAGGTGGGTTGTCACCCCAAGCTGTGTTGTAGGTGGGTTGTCACCCCAAGCTGTGTTGTAGGTGGGTTGTCAACCCCAAGCTGTTTTTGTAGTGTGGGTTGTCAACCCAGCTGTGTTGTAGGTGGGTTGTCACCCCAAGCTGTGTTGTAGGTGGGTTGTCACCCCAAGCTGTGTTGTAGGTGGGTTGTCACCCCAAGCTGTGTTGTAGGTGGGTTGTCACCCCAAGCTGTGTTGTAGGTGGGTTGTCACCCCAAGCTGTGTTGTAGGTGGGTTGTCACCCCAAGCTGTGTTGTAGGTGGTTGTCACCCAAGCTGTGTTGTAGGTGGTTTGTCACCCCAAGCTGTGTTGTAGGTGGGTTGTCACCCCAAGCTGTTTTTGTAGGGGGGTTGTCACCCCAAGCTGTGTTGTAGGTGGGTTGTCAACCCAAGCTGTGTTTGTAGGTGGGTTGTCCCCCCCAAGCTGTGTGTAGGTGGGGTTGTCAACCCAGCTGTGTTGTAGGTGGGTTTGTCACCCCAAGCTGTGTTGTGGGTGGGTTGTCCCCCCAAGCTGTGTTGTAGGTGGGTTGTCCCCCAAGCTGTGTTGTAGGTGGGTTGTCACCCCAAGCTGTGTTGTAGGTGGGTTGTCACCCCAAGCTGTGTTGTAGGTGGGTTGTCAACCCAGCTGTGTTTTTAGGTGGGTTTGTCACCCCAGCTGTGTTGTAGGTGGGTTGTCACCCCAAGCTGTGTTGTAAGGTGGGTTGTCACCCCAAGCTGTGTTGTAGGTGGGTTGTCACCCCAAGCTGTGTTGTAGGTGGGTTGTCAATCCAGCTGTGTTGTAGGTGGGTTGTCACCCCAAGCTGTGTTGTAGGTGGGTTGTCAATCCAGCTTTTGTTTGTAGGTGGGTTTGTCACCCCAAGCTGTGTTGTAGGTGGGTTGTCACCCCAAGCTGTTTTGTAGGTGGGTTGGTCAACCCACTGTGTTGTAGGTGGGTTTTTCACCCCAACTTGTTGTAGGTGGGTTTTGTCACCCCAAGCTGTGTTGTAGGGGGGTTTTGTCACCCCAAGCTTGTGTTGTAGGGGGGGTTGTCACCCCAAGCTGTGTTGGGTAGGTGGGTTGTCAATCCAGCTGTGTTGTAGGGGGTTTTTCACCCCCAAGCGTGTTGTAGGTGGGTTGTCAATCCAGCTGGTGTTGTAGGGGTTTTTGTCACCCCAAGCGTGTTGAAAGGTGGGTTGTCACCCCAAGCTGTGTTGTAGGTGGGTTGTCACCCCCAAGCTGTGTTTGTAGGTGGGTTGTCACCCCAAGCTGTGTTGTAGGTGGGTTGTCACCCCAAGCTGTGTTGTAGGTGGGTTGTCACCCCAAGCTGTGTTGTAGGTGGGTTGTCACCCCAAGCTGTGTTGTAGGTGGGTTGTCACCCCAAGCTGTGTTGTAGGGG